GAGGAGTGGTGCCTCGGTGCGCACCCGGGATCCGAACCCGGGCCGCCGGCAGTGGAGCGCACGCACTTAACCGCTAAGCCACGGGGCCGGCCCAACATTAGCTTTTTAAAACCTAAAATTGTTAATACTAGTAGGTGAGAAATGAGTAAAATAGAAGTCATTCTATTTTATATATTGATATATATATATCAATATATTGATATCAATAAAACAATATATGTTTTAAGATTGATCTCTTTCCTCAAGAAGTTTACAGTTTGGTTGGAGAGAAAATATATGTACACATATACAGAAAAAATTAATTGCTCCTATAAGAAAGCATATGCTAGCTATCATATAAGTGGTTTCAGAATTCATGGACATATCTGCCACTTTAAAAAATAACTAAGTTATCATAAAGTTTTGGCCTTTTATAGTATTTGAGATCTCCATAAAGCAACTGTTACTCACTATATGTTTCTGCTGTGAGTTTACCTGAACCTAGGCATTTTACAACCTATACACTGAAAAAAAAAAAAAAGGACTAAGTAATGTCATTTATCAATTAAAATGACAACTGGCTCCTTATAGTAAAAAGTTTAAGACAAGTAGTGGCTTAAATGAGATAAAAGTTTATTTTCTCCTCAGAAAAACTGAAAGGTTGGCAGTCCAGGGCAGGTATGGCAGCTCCACGTCATCGGGGACCTCCCATCTTTCTAGCATTGACTTGCATTCTCAAAGCGTCTGCATAGTCGAAGATGGCTGCTGGGACACTAGCCCTTGTGCCTGTTCTAGGCAGCAGGAAGACGGAAAAAGGAGGAGACCAAAAAGAGCTTCTTTGCTTTGCTTTTGCCTAGAAGTCCTATGCAATAGTTCCTTTATATTTCATTGACCAGAGCTTAATCACATGACCTCACTAAGCTGCAGGGGGGTTGGGAAATACAGTCTTTTAGCTGGGTACCCTGGTGCCCCAAATAATTATCTGAGTCTCATTACTAAGGAATAAGGGGAGAATGTGCACTGAATACACAATCAGCAATCTGCCACAGTCACCCTCACCTCATTCTAGAGCCTCATTCTCTCTGCATCCTTGACCCTCACCCCTTTCTTGTCCAGGTCCTGGCACAAGAAGTGCTCCGTCATGACTTGTTGAATACATTTTTGTGCTTTGTGCGTCTCCGGGCTCACCCCATTCCTATATCTCATTCATTCTCTGACCCCATCCCTGAGCCTTACTTACCCCATCTCTCAATCAGTGATGGCATCACTCCCATCCAAAGAGAAAGAATGCAATTGGGGTGAGCCTTCTAGAATGATCTAGAGGTCATGCATGATAGGCAGCTCAGAGATGGAGTGAGATTTAGGAACAAGATCAGGCCAGAAATATCAGGAGTCAGAAATATCCATTCTACACACCACTTGGTAATTTTTTTAAAAGTTGCTGTGTTAAATGACCATGTCAAAATATCTAAGCCTTCTTTAAATATAAAAATTATAATTGTATTTTATTAATACAAAGGTAAGATGTGTTCAGTTTTTTAAAAAGTAGGAAACAGATAAGAAAGGAAGAAAAAAAGGAAGAGAAAAAAATCATTAAATGGAAGAGATAAATTATACTCACCAGTTTTCACCTTGGGAGGAGCATCTCTTTCAGATCTTTCCATGTATAAAGTTGATCCGAGCAGAGTTTATGTACGGCTATACAGATTTGTGCTATTTATAACGTTTTGAACTTAAGCCTTATTTTTAAAGCCCTATTTTACCACTCAGATTTAACTTTACCTTTGATCAAAATTTTTAGAAAACTAGACAGGCTTTCTATGTGAATTCTTTAATATTTTTCTTCCTCTTTAATGAGGACATGAAACATCAGGAAGGTGGCAAAAGGCAAGCAGCAGGAGAAAGCATAACTCTGTCAAGAGAATTGGTCAATTCAGAGACTGAATGATAAGTAAGGAAGGTCCTCTTAAGTAATCCAGAGTGGAATGTGCTTCCAGAACCCTAGAGGAGGATTGGGGCTGTGACAGGGAGAACTCGAGATCTAGAGTGTAATGACTGACTCTGAAACTCGGTTTCCTTCCATGTAATATGGGAATAATAAGAACTCCTACCTCAGAGAGAGTTGTTATAAGGATCAAATAAGATAATATATGTCAAAACATAATTTAACCCATGAGATACTAAATGTGTATTTAAAAAAGCAAAGCCTGTAAATTATTAGAGCTGAAAAGACTTTTGATAACATCTAGTCCATGTGCCTTTTAATGTTGAGGAAATGGAGATCCATTGTTTGCTTGTATTAATGTACTGAATTGAAGAACCTTAAGTATGATATTGAGGATAGGAAATGCTTTTGTTGCTGAGCACTGTAAGTTTGCACTGAGATAATGACAATGAATTGCTTTCCAAAGCATTTCAGGTTCAATATGGTTGTGAAGGTACATTGCACAAGGGCATCTGCCAAAGGGTCAAGGGGTGGGAAATGGCCCACAGTCCATTTGCCAAGCTGTGTGCCTTTGGAGTGGTGTCTGCCCAGAGAGGCGCCTTTTCTTACTTTGCCCAAAGGTACCCTATGGTAGGTAGAGGCCCAGTCTTTATCCTTGGGATTCTTGACCAATTGTCTCTGGCCGACAGCAACATTGCTTTTCTGGGGCAGTGTCTTGGGCAGCTGGCTGAACCGCATTACTGGAGGGCCACTTGCTCTTCTCTTTCTTTTGCGTAGGGAGTGGTCAACTACTGTAGACGGGAGTTGGCCAATCTTCCCTTCTTCCCTCTTCCCATCTCAGACCACACTTTCCTCGTTGGAGCAAAAGAAGTTATTGGTGGCAAACTGCACCACCAGGTGTTCTGGTTTTAGGCATGAAGCTGATGGGACACTTACTGAACGTTTACATTCTCCACTTTACCTTATTGAAGCTGGTGTTCTGATGGGCTTTGTCATCCTGACGGTGAGAAGTGTTGTACCCACTTCCTGACGTTACCTTAAGTCACCTTCACTCTGGTTCCTTTCCGGTCTCTGGGTCTAACTCAGCTCAGTAACATTAGGCCCTTGGAGGCCCCCTTTGACCTCCCCTGAGCACTGACCAGTGATGGTTGTAGGGTGGGCAGCGACCCTGTTCCACGTGGTCAGTGACAGAGCCGTCAGTGCAGTTCAACAGGAGGCATTCTGGTCATTTGAGTTGTTTTTTTGATGAAGACTCGAAAGCGAGGTCTGGCAGTTCCAAAACATCCCTTCCACAGAATGCTGTATTTGATTTTGTTTGTGGGCTCCTTGTCCTTTCCAGTTGCCTCTGATAAAGTTAATTTGTATATGAGGACCCACAACCTGCAGGCCACCCCAGTGGCAAGGCCCATGTCACAAATCTAAACCTAAGTCACCGTGCACTTATGGGAAACAGCTGTCAAGGAAACCTAACGTACACCAATCCCAATCCTCCACTTCAGCTTGAGCCAGCTCACTTTACCCTAGAAACAGGACCAGAGAGCCTTATCAGGAAATCCCTGACCTCCTAGCCCATCACGCCCTGTTTCCCTGTTGCCTCCTCTGATGCTCTATAAATTCCTTCTTGCTCAAAATCCCTCAGGAACAGTGCTCCACTGCTGTGAAGATTGCACTCCGCAGATTGTTTTCCCTTGAATAAAGGACACCAAACTGATTACTAAATTGTTCTAGATTTGTCTTTTGATACTTCCCACCTTCCCCAGATTGGCATATCATTCTTGAATCTATCTGGAAGGCCGCTATCGGGATGTGTCCCCCTCTTTGTCATCCTTAGTACACTTGTAAATTTCTAAATGTACTGAGATGCTTCAGGAAAGGAGGGAGGAGGTGAGGAGTCTTGTTCTCTCATCAAAGGCTGAGCGTAAGTGTGGATGGGGAGGGAACAAAGGGGTGGGTGGAGAGAGTGGTGTGAACTGGAACTAAAATCTAGTTTACCGTAACAAAGCAACTTGCAACACACAGCAAGGTTCTGACACACTCATTAGGAAGCCCTTACCTAGGTGTGCTTCATCCTGGGAGCCTTTGTTATGGATTTGAAATAACAAATACTTGGAGTCCAGACCTTCTAGTACTGGTTTTTCAGCCTTGGGCAAATCAGTGAACCTTTTTGAGCCTGAGTTTCATCATCTTTAAGGCAGAGATAATATTATTGCCTGGGTTGTTGTCAAGATCACACTAAAGAAATTGCCAGGCAAAAATACAATGCTACTGTTACTATATTTCATTGAATCTAAGATGCTAGTGATTGTAAGATGCATCATTATTTTAAATACCACTAAAGAAGAAAAAATCCTGTCAATTATACCATGGTACATTACTTTCTTATTGTTTGGAATATTTCTACCCAATGAAAGAGATTTCTTTAGGCACATTTTTATCATAAATCATTCTTGTGCATATGTAAAAAGGAACTATAAGTGAATATAAATTAATGTATTTTTAAATTTCATCACAATCTTAGTCCATTTATGCTGAATCACTTGTCAAGGCAGTTAGTGATATCTGTGTTTTTTCCCACACAATATTGCTTCTGTGCCATCACAAGCAGAGGGGATGGAGCATTTCTTAAAAGAGTGCTTCAGATTGTCTTCCTTCCAAGCCTCTGACGCCAGTTCTACTTAGTCAATATGACGCACATGCATTGGCATCTATTTCCTGCCCAGTGCTTGGCCAACTTAAGATATCCTGATTTTAGAGATGGTAAAGTATGAAAATATGTACATGTTAGAATTGATGTCATATAGTAGTATGATTGATTCCATCTTTTTTCATAGGTTTGGGCTTGTAAGGGGAGAAAGCATGAGACCCTTTGCTTCTTCTTAGGAACTGTACTTGCAGCCAAACTTTGGCTGGATGGTTTGCCTGGGATATGGCCCTGTGCTGTTAACAGGACAGCGTTCCCATTGACATGAATAAATGATAGAACTAACTTGGTTTGTTTTCGTATTTACCTATTCTTTTCTTCCCTCCTGTCTCCTTTCTGTTTTTCCTTTAAAGTTCTTGAGGCCAGATCTGGCTCCTAAGAAACACCAAAGGCAGCCCCGCACCAAAGGCCTCTCAGGGCCATCTCAGAAGCCTGCCTCCCCGCACTGTGTGAGGCAGAATGGCGGCCCCCAGAGGTACACTTTCTTCATTGCTGCTGCTGGTGACCATTGCAGGTAGGAAACCATTCCCTGGAGACAGCAGTGTCATAGTTGAGCTTCCTGTCTGGCTTAAGCAACTCAGATCGACCTGAAATGAGGGTGCTGTGTGTTTACTTTCCAACAGAATTATTTTATGTATAAAAGGCATGAAAAGCAGACCTCATGCATGAGTGGTCTTCTAGAAACAGGAATTTAAATTGTTTTTTATTTATTTATTTTTTATTATTATTATTTTTAAATTTTATTTATTTATTTATTTTTCCCCCAAAGCCCCAGTAGATAGTTGTATGTCATAGCTGCACATCCGTCTAGCTGCTGTATGTGGGACACAGCCTCAGCATGGCCGGAGAAGCGGTGCGTCGGTGTGCGCCCGGGATCCGAACCCGGGCCGCCAGCAGTGGAGCGTGCGCACTTAACCGCTAAGCCACGGGGCCGGCCCTAAATTGTTTTTTAATATCATGACTATTTTTGGGAAAATAAAATCACATTTCATATATACTAGGAAAACTTTCTATTTATGTATTTGTTTAAAAGGATTGCACAGTAGGTCTTTTTGGAAAGCAAATGACCAGGCTCTCTTTTATCATAAATCTTTACTTTTATATATTCTGTTTGCTTATTTATGCCATAGGACAGACCTATGGCATAAAATCATTGGCGAGCATCAATTCTGGTGATCCATGCCTGGGTGAGGCCAGCCAAGCCCATTGGAACTTACCAAGGACTGAGGGTGGAGATATGGCCAGGGAAACTGATTTTATGTCCAGGGTTTGTCAAAGTGTGATGAAACCATAATGAGGCTTACCTGTGTCGACGCAAAATAACCAATAACCGTCCTATAGATAAGAGAAATAAGGTAAGTGTACTTGAGCCAGAGTGAGGATTATAACCCTGGAAGGCCTTAGAAAGCGTTCCGGAGAAGCATGGTTTACAGTCCAGTCTTATATCTTTTTAGAACAAAGAATATACATTAAACACACCCAGGAGGGCCGGCCCTGTGGCTTGGTGGTTAAGTGCGCGCGCTGCGATGCTGGCGGCCCGGGTTCGGATCCCGGGTGCGCATCGAGGCACCACTTCTCCGTTCATCCTGAGGCCGAGTCCCACATGCTGCAACTAGAAGGATGTGCAGCTATGACACACAACTATCCACTGGGGCTTTGGGGGGAAAAAATAAAATAAATAAAATCTTTAAAAAAAAAAAAAAAAATACACCCAGGATACATTTTCGTCAAAGTTTCAAAGAGGTATTCAATTGCAAATTAACATGTCAATGTGACCTTGATGTCAGGAAAGGGCCTAATCCAGGCATTACCAATAGGGCGTTGGGTGTTACCAATGGGGCGTTACCAATAGTGCATAGGAGGGGAAGTATGCATTTTTATCTTAAGAGAGTGTATTCTTTACTTTAATAGTTAAGCAGATGTACAATGTATGTTTGATAGGCCATAAGTCAGGCTTTTTAGTTCAAGCTGTATCAGTTTTGAACCCGAATAGTTACCCCATATACCTCAATATGTGAAAATCTTGTCACCTGAGAGCAACATTTGTTAAAATGTAATTTCCTAGACCGATCCAGACTGACTGTAATCAGAACTCCTAGTAGGTGTGGATCAGGAGTCAACAAGCACTTGGATATGATTTTGAAGCATCTAGATTTTTATAAGCATCGTTTTAGATTATACAAGGGCCACTTTAGAAAATGCTACCGTTGGAAAATCCCTGTCATTCCCTGTAGATTAGTCTCCCCAGGCCATCCATCCATCTTATTAAATTCATCACTGTTTAGTGTGCGTGACAAAATGTTCCTTTATTCCATGCTTAGTGTACTCCGTACTCTGGAAAATACTGTCAGTAATGTTTGAGCACTCATTTTTTTTCCTCTCAAATCCCCACTTGTTTATTCCTTTTTGTCTTTTTCTTGTGAGATGTTTTCCATTAATTCAGAATCCTCGAATGACTGAGCCCCAGTAATATTATTTGTAGTTTGCTTGTCTTCCCTCTCTGTCCTCTTTACTTTTGAAAAACGCTAACCAGTGATTTTATTGATGTCAACAATCATGGAGTGCCTACTATGTTCATGGATTGGGCTAGGAATGTGTAGAAGTTATAGACACGGGTGAGTGTTCTCTGGTCTCTTCAAGAGCTTTCTTGAGTGAGTTTAATAGATTTTGAAGTAATTATGGCAACTTAGCCCAAAGGAAGAATGGTTAGGTTGCTGGGAACCCCACCTTCTCAAACTTCTTTATTTAGCATTAAGATCTTTGGTTAAGGTATTGTAGGGGTTGGGCTGGCCCCGTGGCTTCGGGGTTAGGTGCACGCGCTCCGCTACTGGCGGCCCGGGCTTGGATCCCGGACATGCACCAATGCACCACTTCTCCGGCCATGCTGAGGCCGCGTTCCACATACAGCAACTAGAAGGATGTGCAACTATGACATACAACTATCTACTGGGGATTTGGGGGAAAAAAAGGAGGATTGGCAATAGATGTTGGCTCAGAGCCGGTCTTCCTCAGCAAAAAGAGGAGGATTAGCATGGATGTTAGCTCAGGGCTGATCTTCCTCACACACAAAAAAAAGATATTGTAGGGGAAGAGGGAGAATCCCCTTCTGCCCTTTCCCTTAAGGTTCTTATGGCTGGCCAAATAATTAACAAGACAGGTTAGCAGGAGAAAATAATACCAAGTTTAATAACATGTATACATGGGAGAAACCAAGGACACTGTGTTTCTCAACACAATAGCAGAGATTCTTGTCTTAAATACCATCTTCAGCTAAAGACACAGGAGGATGTTGGGAGTGGGTGGTGTTTTGGGATTTCATAGGGGAAGAAGACAATTTACATGAAGAGAGAAAGGTAAATGTTTGTCAGACAATGCTTTGCAGGGCCACTTATAGAGAATGTGGCCAGAGAGACAGGACTTATAGTAATCATGAGTATGTACATTTAAGTCTTCTTCTTCCGTCCTGATAAGAGTTTTCACAGATAAGGCTATCCCCCCGCTCTTCCCACTACACAGAGGGAGATACCTTTACGAATGTAAATATTTGATAAACAGAACTTTGTTAAGAATGGGCTTAGCCAGGACCCTGCCAGTCTGTCTACACCCAGAGTTAAATTCCTTTAGGCAGTTTGGGGGAAGTCAAATGTCCATAAGAGAAAACAATCAAGGTGAAGAGATATATTTTAGGGTGGCCAATTTTGATCTCCCACAGTATATATATCTAAACAGCCCAATCAGTGATTTTTTTTTTTTTTTTGTGAGGAAGACCAGCCCTGAGCTAACATCCAATGCCAATCCTCCTCTTTTTTGCTGAGGAAGACTGGCCCTGGGCTAACATCTGTGCCCATCTTCCTCTGCTTTATATGGGATGCCGTCACAGCATGGCTTGCCAAGTGGTGTGTTGGTGTGTGCCCAGGATCCAGAACGGGCGAACCCTGGGCCGCCGCAGTGGAGCGTGTGCACTTAACCATTGCGCCACCGGCCGGCCCCACCATTCAGTGATTTTTTGCAGAACAAAGGGATGATCTGCCCCAGAGGTATATGGCAGTCTCTACCTCCAACCTGACTGAAGATTGCTTTAAGCTTTGTGTTGAAGGCTTCTGCCATGGAAAGTTCTCCTTACCCACCTGTAACAATTTGCTTGCTTTAGGATCACAGCCTTTTTCCTGTACAAGCGTTTCTGTGACACAGTTTTGCAAGTTAGCTTTTGAGCTAATAGCCAAAGCCAGAAATGGAACAGGACCGTCTATGAGTCACGTTGTCCCAAAGGAGATGACCTAACAGTTTTTCAAGAGAAATAAAGCATATCTTGCCATTTGTGTTTGAAAGAAATTTCTAGCTTGGATCTTCATTTAAAGGCCACTCAGGGATGTAGCAGTGTCTTTACAAATAAAGGCCATATTTTGGAGAGTAGAGTTGAGAGTTGGGGGTTACCTATCTCTCTGTTCTCCACCCTGCATCACCTCTTGACCTTCATTAGAAATGCTATTTTGCTGTGTTCAGCTGGAGGGTTTTTTTTTTTTTCCTTCATATCTGAGATTAAGCTTTTCCATAGAAAGTAAAAGGCTAAAACTATTAAGGTGATTTTTAAAAAGGAGATTTGTGTTTGAGAAAATGTCATTTCAGTTGAATTAGTTTGTTGCTAGCTTATTCATTAGGAAAGATGCTTATCTACTATATCTAATTCCTATTAAATTGGACCGATTCGACTTTCCTATAGAGTCAATGTTTGGCACTGAATGATTCTTAAAAATTTATAACAATAATGGCGTGTGTACAGGTAAAAATAAAGATAATTCTTATACTGTATTTAACCATTTCTCTTACCTCCAGTGACCTCTGACTGTCACCATGACAAAAGTAACAGTTATTAAAAGAACTATCAGTGATATGCCCTCACTAGGAAGATCTCTTGCCATTCTTTTTTTTTTTTTTTTTTTTTTGATGAGGAAGATTAGCCCTGAGCTAACATCTGTTGCCAACCCTCCTCTTTTTGCCGAGGAAGATTGGCCCTGGGCTAACATCCGTGCCCATCTTCCTCTACTTTATATGTGGGAAGCCTGGCACAGCATGGCTTGATAAGCGGTGTCCGCGCCCAGGACCCGAACCCGCAAACCCCAGGACGCAGAAGCAGAGTGCACACTTAACCACTATGCCACCGGGCTGGCCCCTCTCTTGCCATTCTGAGTTCTGCAGCAGAGCTCTAATACAGTGCTTCTCAAACTATATGTGGTGAGGGACCAATTTATTTTTATTTCCAATCCAACACAGACTGATTCTTTTGTAAAATCTCAACAAACCAATAAACAAAAAAGAAGAAAAGTAATTTTGCACTTGGATTTCAGGCAATGACAAGTTGCTACAGAAGTTTCTAAAAGCCTCAGTTTCTGTTATTTTGTCATGGACTGGTAACAGATTTTGTGGCCCTGCACCACTGTGTCTGTGACCCACACTTGCATAGCAGCACTCTAATACCTGCTGTATTTGCTGATTGGAGACATTTGTAGTTCATTATTTAGAATCAGATTCAAGTTAGTCGTTATAGACCTGTACTGAGGACAAGTTTTTGTCTCCTTTGATATTTCCCTGTCAATTGATCTATTATCGGAATAACCTATGAGATTAAAAAAAAATTCAAATAACAACAGCAACGATGTGATATAGTTCCTAAAGTAAACTTTTATAACTGAATTTTGGGTAAGGAGCAAAATATTATTAATAATATAAAAGCAACACCCATGTGGAAAAGAATGCTTCTGTTCACTAAGTAGAGTAACATTATGTGAAGAGAGAGAAGGGAAGGTGAGATGGACAGGTGGAAGGATCTAAGGCTGGTTGGGTGGGGGTGGAAGAACAGGAAGAGAAACGTATGGAGAGGTGTGTTGATGGATGGACTGTAAGATAACGCAATGGACTTTCTCTGGGAAATGCCGGTTGTTTATTTGCTTCCCAGATGTGATTATGCCTCTTCGTCTTGTTGGAATCTGCCTTGTTTGCAGGGTGCGCCTGTACGCAGTGCAGTGAAGGAAGGACATATTCCAATGCAATCATTTTACCGAACTTGGAAACTACCAGAATCATGCGGGTGCCTCAACCCACCCCGGTGGTAGACTGCACAGCCGCTTGTTGTGACCTGTCCAGCTGTGACCTGGCTTGGTGGTTTGAGGGCCGCTGCTACCTGGTGAGCTGCCCGCACAAAGAGAACTGTGAGCCCAAGAAGATGGACTCCATGAGGTCTTATCTCACCTTTGTGCTCAGGCCTGCCCAGAGGCCCACACAGCTGCTGGACTTTGGGGAGATGATGCTCAACAGGGGTGCCCCGTCAGGAATCTGGGGGGACTCACCTGAGGATATCAGAAAGGACTTGCCTTTTCTAGGCAAAGACGGGGGCCTAGAGGAGACGTCTGAGTACTCGGATGACTATCGGGAGCTGGAGCAGGACCTCTTCCAGCCCCTCAGCAAGCAGGAGCCCAGAGGGAGTGCCGAGTACACTGACTGGGGCTTGCTGCCAGGTCGCGAGGGACCCGAGGGACGTTTCAACTCCTCTGCTGGAGACAGTCCAGCAGCGTCAGTGGAGAAGCAGCAAGAGGTCTCTGAGCTCCATTCCCTGGACCCGGAGCTCCATAAGCTGAATGAGTCCGCGTGGACCCCAGCCCCAAAACGCTCTCCTGAGAGAAGGGTGTTGCTTCCTTTGGTGACTACTCCATCTTCAGGAGAAGTATTGGAGAAAGAGACTTTTCAGCTCCGGGAACAATCCAACAACAGCTCTGGAAAAGAGGTAGGTGTGATTGGTATGTGCTTGAGGGAGTAGGAGGGGCTCAGGAGGCTGAGTTTACTTTTCAGAGCCGGGCACTCGTTATGCTGAAATGAGCCAGGCACTCATTTCAGAGCCAGTAGGTTCCTCTTAGGAGCACCTGTCTCAGGTGTCAGCAAGAAAGATGACTCAGAGCCTTCCTGGAAACAAAACATCTTGTTCCTCTGCTATGCTTTCATGACCAGACTGTTTAAAAGAACAAATAGTTTTTCTGCCTTCACAAGTGAGTCACCTAACGATGATTTAGCACTTCTCCCTGGAGATGCCTCTACCAGTGTCTAAGGTGAATGAGGATTTTATAGAAGTCCCAGGAGCCAGCCCATATACACAGCACATATACCCAGGGGCTTTGAGAATCTATCATGGTAGGTTTTGTAGGGGTGTAAAAATTTTCCCTTCTAGGTTCTTTGGCTGGTCTAATAATTAAATGGACATAGGACAGATTAACAGGAGAAAAACAAATTTAATTTTGGATGTTGGGGAGCCCTGTAAAAATATGAGACTCAAAGAAGTGACCAAAGGAGGAAGCTTTTATACCTTTTAGACTAAGAAACAATAAATTTTTGAAGAATTGACAAGACAAAGGGGTTTGGGCTTGGTGAAGAAGTAAGAACTGGGGGCCAGCCCTGTGGCTAAGTGGTTCAAGACAGGTTTGGATCCAAGGTGCGGACCTACTCCACTCATCAGCCATGCTGTGGAGGCATCCCACATACAAAATAGAGGAAGATTGGTACAGATCTTAGCTCAGGGCTGATCTTCCTGAAACAAAAAATGAGGAGAATTGGCAACAGGTGTTAGCTTAGCGTGAATCTTCCTCACCAAAAAGAAAAAAAGGAAGTAAGAACTGTTAAAAGATAAACTGAGGCATATTACAAATTTTAAGAGTTTATTTGAGCAAAAATTAATTCAAATCGGGCAGCCTCCAATCTAGCAGGTAGAAAGGAGCTCTGAAGAACTGTACAAAATGAAAAACTTCTATAGCCAGAAGGGAGTAGGAACAAGGAAGTTATACTAGACAGAAGAGCCAATTGGTTATTGCCAGGTCACTTTTCTTTAGGGCATGATAGGGGTCTATCAGGCAGATTACTTACCTAGTGCTGGTCAGATGATTTCTGATTGACTGGTTTAAGATTCCATTTCTGGGAGAGCTGAAACTGTAATTGAGGCATGTCTTGGTTTGGTGACATGGGGCTTAGCATAAATGAGTCTCTTTTGGGCCTGTTGTCTTGTTTTTTAACACAAGATTTGTTTATATAGCCTCCTTGGCCCTAAATTCTCTATCTCTGGTGATAAGGATGCCTTCTATCCTCCTGTTACAGTGAGGGTACCTTTCACATAGGAGATTTATCTTCTGCTTTCAGGGGGACAGAGGGGGGTCAGAGTGTCCTTCTTGCACCAGATTATTTCTCAAGTACCTTTAATTCAAAATAATCAACATGTCAAGTGCCATATTTTGGGGTGTCATATTCTGAACCCCTACAGTTTCTTCAAGACCCAACAGGTGCTTGGGTTGCTAGAAACTCATCAGTGACGTGAATCAGTTGGATAGGAGGAGAGAGATACTAAGGAGCGAATGTAATCTGTCCAGAGCTTTCCATGAAAAACCCAGGTGAAACAGCATGGTAATCTTTGGGAAAGTAGACATCCCAAAAGCAGGGGGAAGGTTTAAGGTTTAAGGCAGAAGGTCGGGGAGATGGACAATGAGACTGAGCTGTGAGGAGAGTGTAGCTGGAGAGCTCAGAGGCTACTCATTTGGGAAATGCCAGGACTTGAGAATGTGATGAGCATGTTGACCAGGGGAAGCTGAATGCATTTGGAAATGAAGTGACAAAAGGACAGGTCATGGGAGAAACTATTGTATTTCAAGATACAAGAGGGCAATCAGAATGTAAAGGGACATAAACCAATGAAGATTTTTCTTTTTTAAATATACCCTTTGTTTTGTTTGTTTTTTGTTTGTTTTTTTGTATGTGTGTGAGGAAGATTAGCCCTGAGCTAACATCTGTTGCCAATCCTCCTCCTTTTTTTGCTGAGGAAGATTGGCCCTGGGCTAACATCCATGCCCACCTTCCTCTGCTTTATATGGGATGCCTGCCACAACGTGACTTGATGAGCGGTGCGTAGGTCTGCGCCCGGGATCCGAACCCACAAAACCTGGGCTGCCGAAGCGGAGCATGCAAACTTAACCACTACGCCACTGGGTCGGGCCCCTAAGTTTTTTTTTTTAAAGGAAAATACAGTTTAAGATATCAGTGCTTAGCTTAGAATAAGTGAAGAAAGCTGGATTGAATTGACTATACATTATAATCTCAACCATAACAAATTGCTAAAAATTCTTTTTTACTGGTGAGATTATCAGAAGTTTTTTTCTGCTTTGCCATATTTTTCTGTACTTTTCAAAGTTTCTGTATTTTTCTATACTTGTAATTGTCTTAAAATTTTAAAAACTTTCAGTTAAAAAATAGTCTGAAAGTATCAAAGCTTAACCATGTTCTTTTCTCATATCACTAAAGAGTAACATAACTTACTGTCTTTTATGTTGCTAAGTCATTTACTTTCTAGCTTTTATGGATGGAAGTGTTTCAAATCAAGCTCTACTAAAAAATCTTTTGGCTCATTAGTTCTTTAGGTTGGTTATGTTAAAAGATAATTATCGGGCCGGCCCGGTGGCTTAGTGGTTAAGTGCGCACGCTCCGCTGCTGGCGGCCCGGGTTCGGGTCCCGGGTGCGCACCAACGTACCACTTCTCCGGCCATGCTGAGGCCGCATCCCACATACAGCAACTAGAAGGATGTGCAACTATGACATACAACTATCTACTGGGGCTTTGGGGT